TCCGAACTGGCGCTTTCGTAGTCGTCCGTTCTTATGTTTACGATCGTCGCCATCACGTTCTTGGTCGCGTCCGTCACGGTTGGAGCGTCCATAGCGTCGGTGATCGTGGCATTCGTAATCTTGTCGCCTTCCTCGGGTCGCAGCTACCTACGCCTGCAGGAATGGGTGTGCTGCGACTGCGATTTGTGTCAGAATCACGGTCATCAGACAAAGGGTCGGCCGACCACCGCCACGCGCAACCACGCTGTTTTGCCACCAAGTACCACTGTGGCAGTGCGGGCGCCGGAGCGAAAAGGTCGTCGCGACTAAAACTTTCAATAGTGAGTGAGCTGTGCCCTGTCTACCTGTCAAGCGATCTAGGCAGAAATCCAAACCAACAGTGAAGTCTCAAGTGTGTGGGGGACCAAACCCCGCAGTGAAAGCTAAGAAAAACTGCCAGGCTGAACAGCCTTGCCTGCCGCGGACTGGCAGTATCCACACTCTGCCACGGGCAGCGAGCATCTTGAGCCAAAACGGCTACGGCGGAGGAGGGGGAGGAGGAGGAGGAGGAGGGGAGGAGGAGGAGGAGGAGGAGGAGGAGGAGGAGGCGGATGCCGCAGGGGGACTAGGAGGCGTCCCGGGGAGGGGGCAGGAACGCGACTCCGAGGACGGGGGGGGGGGAGGGGTGTCCGGGGGAGGGCGGCTGTCCTTGGCTGGTGGGCGGCGATCGATCGTGCAGGGCCTGGCGCGAAGCTGCGCCCCGGGCGTGCTGAGGCGACTCTGCTCACTTGACGTGGACCGCTTGAAGAGCAGAACAGAAAGGGCAGGATGGGGCAGGAGGTGGCTGCCTCTGAAAATGTACGGGATCTCCCGAGGTCCCCACAAATTCCTGCAGTTCTCTGGCAAGCGGAAAGAATTAGGGAACGCCCCCATCTTCCCCGAACTTCGAAATTGGCGCGCTGGTGGACGACAGATGCGAAGTGCAAATCAGATCCCCCGCCAACGTTGACCATGGGTGAAGGGGGAAGGTGAGGTGGAACGAGGGTTCGCTAGATTTGTTTCCGACGCCTGTCTGGAGGCTCCTGGAGGCCTCTGGGGTCCTGTGGAAGGCCCCCATAGACCCCATAGCCCAGATCCTCGAGGAGGAGGAGGAGGAAGAGGAGGAGGAAGAAGAGGAGGCGGAACAATAGCAGCAGTAAGAGGAGCAGGAGGAGGAGAAGGATCGGGAGCGAGGACGCAATAGAAGAGGGCAGCCGCAGACGTCGGGCGGCTCGAACAGATCGGGACGGCCGCTTCGCCATGTGGCCGACCAAAATAATTCGCGTCTTACGCGAGATGGCGTAGCGACTTTACGCGGTGGCTTACGCGGGCCGACAGTGCGGCATGCTACGCTGGAGACCAGGGCGCTTTCGCGCGGTCTTACGTCGGCAGCTTACGCGCCAACGTCGGCGAAAACGATCCATGTTGTTGCGTCGCCCGTGTGGGGCTCTGGAAACTGGTTTCGGGCCTGGGGGCATCGCAGAAAACTCGGGATGCAAAACCGGGCCCAAGGAAGGGGTCGAGAGATCAGGGGGCACACTATTCGAACATACTGGGCCGCCAAATGCCCAGCGTTAGAACTGGCAGCAGCGTTTTCATTCGCAACCACTACATTAGCGACTTTCACCACACCCGCATTCCTCTGATCTGGGGGTCGTGAACACATGTCCACGGGCGCTTTGTCCTGTTTGGGGCCCAGGACCTCCACACAGCGATCCATCAAGAAAATCCGTATGCGTTCAAGGATTGGTTCCCAAGCTCTGGTAGTGATTTTACCACGACGTTGTGATGTGATTTTCGTACGACTCGGACCTCAGATTAGAAGCCGCCGATCCACCAGTTAAAAGCATGCAGTGGCCACTGCGTGGCGCCACGGCGCGCGACGAACGAGTGATGCAGGGGTGTATGTGGGGGCTCAAAGGCAGGAGGGGGCGCATGGGAAGGGATCGCGGCTCTCACACGAGGGGGTGACGTGACGCCAAGCCAGAACTGAGCGGTGCTGCCATGGGGACAATAATTTACTAGATCATATACCGAATGCCCGAGCCTCAGGTCTCCGTGTCGCCTAAGCGCGCATCCGCCCACCGTTCTCATCGCAGGTCGAGCCAAGTCCCTTGGCTTGCCCTGCGAGGGCGAGGGGTGCGCAAGAGAAGTCAGACCCAGACCTCCGACGGCCCTTCTGGGGGAACACCTTGCCATCCTGACTTTTGCTTTGACGGCCCCAGACCCACAAAGCCGAAAAGTATAAAAAAAAACCGGGCTCGACTTCTTCGGATCGCCAGAGGTCTTGGGCGTTACCAGGAGCTGACAAGGCAAAATATGTGACCGCCCTGAGTTCCTGGCGGGACCGCTGGCAGTTGCGCAGAGGCAGAGGACGCGGAACATATGATTTGCACTACACGGCGCCGTGGTCGACCGAAGGTCGACCCTACAAGATCAGACCCAGACCTCCGACGCCTTGAAACAATCGGGACGGTCATTTGTCCCTAATTTCGGCCTCTGTGGGTCCCGCAACCAAGAAAAACTCGAGGTGAAAAAGGTAAACCCCAGAGAAAGGGCAGAGATCTCCGGGGACCCGCGTCATGGAACATTCACGGCGTCTGAGGTCTGAAAAAGATCAGTGCGAAGGTAAACTTAAAAATGAAAGAGGAGGGTGTCCATGCTTGCTCGGAATACCACCTCTGTGCGTAGGTGTCTTAGCGGGTTCTGCCTTCCAACCCCCCTCTTCCTCTTCGGGAAGGGGTCTACCCCTCCTTTTGCCCCCCTCCCCCGGGATCTGGACCGTGGCTCCCCAAGGCAAGGGGGCGTCCGAGAAGGCCTGAGACAGCACCAATATGGTTATCCAAGACTGCGCAACATGGTTACACTTCATTCAATATGGTCTTCAAGATGGTCTCCAGCAAGCCTCCAATAGACCCCAAGATCGCCACAGGACAAACCGAGGTAGCCACGGAGCCTCTCAACGATGTCCTCGATAGGACACGATCGTCGAACAACGTGGGTTTGTCAACGATTCGTGATGTTTGCCTTCTCGCCTTTTCGCTTCCAGTGGACATCCGAGGCCTAAGATAGCTAAAAGATGGGCCCAGAAGAGCACCCCACGAATGCCTGACTCCAGAGGGGCAGCGCAAATTGATGAGGGACTATCCTTCTTGGGTCGATTGCCTCCAGAATGGCTCCAAGAAGGCCCGATGGTTCCCCCCCACAAACACACTGTATGCACAGCAGCATGACACAAGTGTCAAGGCTGCTGGAGAAAGAAAGTGCGTCAGAGAAGCCGTCAGAATCAAGGCGGCGACGTCCATGTGGGCCCGGGCCGCGGGCCGATTCTCCCGGCCCGACGCTTCCCAAACGGGGCCCCAAAGAGAGCCCCGAGAGAGGGACTGGCATGCATCCAAAAGGGCCGGCAGCCCCACGCTGGCTCCAAGAGGTCTCCAACAGGTTCCCAAGCCTCCTCCTCCTCCTCCTCCTCCTAAGACATGGTTAGAGGTGCTCGAGTTGGTTCCAACGTCGGTTTCATGGCCAACCCCTTGCTGTTCCACGGCGATCCTGCTTCTCTACTTTGCTCTTTCGACAGCTCGCCCGGGCATCGCTTCCGTATGGGCCAGTGAGGCTGAGAGTCAAACATTCATCATGCCCCTCGCCGCTGGCGCTTCTCTTTAGCCAGCTGGTGCGCACACTGCGCGTCCCTGCTTTGCTTGCCACCGCTGGCCGCAGCTGCCCCGACGCGCAGCACGCGGCACGTGGCGTGTCGACACGGGGCGCAGACTGCAAAGGCACGCTTGGCGCGACGCGCTCGCCAAAGTGTGAACCAACACATCTCGCCATCGCTCGGACGTCCATTCCCCGTGTTTTTTTCGGTTTCGTGCGTGGTTTTTTCGCCAAATGATAAAGGATGCTCCTCGACGGTCCTGGTCGAAGGAAAAATCCACATGTCCGAGCGATGCCAAGACATGCGGAGCCGATACGCAGCGTGTCAGCACGTACATTTCGAGCACGGCACGTGCTGCGTTTCAGCACGGGCGCAACGGGGCAGCTATGAGCTGCTGGCGCACGTCGGCGCAGCGAGCCCCCCAAGGCTGGCCGTGCACAGACGCTGCTGGCAGCGCGACGGGCTCTGCTGCCTTCTCCGGGGCGGTCGGATGGCGTGGCGCGCGCCTCCGCTCCAGGGGCCCGAAGGCGAGCAGAGAGCGGGGCGCGGCCACGAAACCCGAGTCTGCATTCCCGTCAGGGAAGCCTTCAGAGCAAGAGCTGCGTGGCGCTCTGGGGGGGAAGGAAAGGTGCACTCCTCGGGACCTAGAGGCCCTTTCTGGGGGGCCCTGGAGGGCTTCTTTAGGTGCCCTGAGGGGCCCCTTTTCTGCAGCCCTCGCTGCCCCCCATTTATCGTCCCCCCCCCCATTGCGCGGCGCCCACAAGAGCAAGCACATGCAAGGATCTGGCTCTTTCAAGCTCGCGGGGAGTTCTGCGGCAGCGGGACCTGGGGTGGCCCACTGCTGATTCTATTCCAGCGAAGGGATGGCAACAAAATGCGCCAGGATGTTGTGCGCCCTCTCAGCGATGTTGAATCGAACCCTGGGCAAGAGAAGCAGGAACAGAGAGAGTCTAGCTAGAAACCTACATTAAGAGACCATGGCAAATATGCCTGCCAGCAATCTGATGCCAGACATGCGAGCTGGCGCTCAATACAGCGCACGATTGTGCGTGGTGAGATGGTCGGTCTCAGATCTGGCGGAGAAGTAAAGATGCGGGTGAAGAGGATGATACGGATGATAACGAAATATAGGGAGTCAAGAGGGCGGAATCAGAACATGAGGCCGAAGAGCGACATGAATAGTCCACCAAAGTGGTGCATGAAGGGGGAGGGCACGTTGGGACACGCTGCCTCCCAAAGCGGCAAGCGAGCGATGCCTGCCCCGAGTCGAGCTGCTCCAGGGAATGCTGCCACAGCATTCTGCGCTCGAGATCGGGTGCCAAAAGCCAGCTCACTCGTCGGCCTCGCCGGGCAGCTGGGCCGCATCGCCAGGGTGCTCCGTGGTCCAGCCGTCGGGGCGCGCGCCACTGAAACGATTGAGGAGCGCCAGGCGGAGCTGGCGCTCGTCCGCGGCCCCGCCGGAAGGGCCGTGGCGAATCGGCGTGGGCGCCTCGAGGGACTCGACGTCGGTCTGGGCCGACAGGGAGAGCACCGTCCGGCCCATCTGGATGGACACGCCTTCTCGCGGCGCGCTGGAAGGGGGGCGGCGCGAGAAAGGTGGCCCTCCAAGACGGCGGAGGGGGGGCTTCTTCGAAACCGGTGGCCCTCTCTTAACGGGCCCGAGAGCTTCAGAGAAGGCCTCCTAGAAGCCGGGGGGGCATCTGAGAAAGGCCCCCCCCCCACCTTCTTCAAGGCCGCCCCCTGCCCGCGCTCCCTCCTTGTGCGCGCCGCCGAGCCTTGGCCCGGCTCCAGGAGGCGGGGCTTCTTCATGGCGACCAGGGTGCCGAACTTCGAGTTGTTGTCCTCCAGCTGGAAATGGCCGTGCTGGAATCGGATCATGGCGTGGCACCGGGAGATCGACACGTCCGCGATGCGCACGTCGCTCTCGTGGCCTCGGCCCAGCTTCAGCACCTTCTCCGCCAGCGAGATAACATGCAGACCGCGGCAGGCGTGCTGCTGAGAGTCGCGGACCATGTTCTCTAGAACGATGAAGGGCGGCTTCGTCCATGGCACCTCCACCAACGGCATCGGCTGCGGCTCAGCATCGTTCTGCACGTAGGTCGGATAGACAGCCTTGCAGAGCTCGCACGGCAGAGGCCGGAAGAAGTAGGAGCCGCCAGTGGAGTCTGAGAGGTTCAAACGCCCTCGGATCCAGTGCCGCAAGCAGCCGAGGTGGACGTATTCGATGGAGCCCTTGCAAAGGCACGGCGAGATGAGGGGATCGCCCTCACCTGGTCCTTCAAGCAAGCAGATGCGACAGAGTGTCTGCGCCAGCTCCGTCTCGCCCCCTGGGTTTACGCGGCACACCGAGCTAGAATCGTCAAGCTTCAACTCTGGCTGCGCTTCGCCGGAGCCGACGAGCTGCCGCACGCGGAACTTGAAGCGGCCGAGCTTGATGACGTCGCCCTCCTGGAGGTGGTGGGCCCCGGAGGGCATGTCACGGACCACCAGCCAGAGCTTCTTGGAGCCGCTCGACGGGGGGGCCCGGTCCACCCAGAAGGCTCCGTCCTTCTGGGCCAGCCGCAAAAGGGGGTCGTACATGTTGTTTACTGGCACGTGCTCACTCACCTGAGGGGCAACGATAGGGGGGGATGGGCACAGGGGGGGATGCATCGACCTGGAATCGGCGATACGTCGTCGATAGATCGGCGATAGGCCTCCGAATAGTGAATCCGCACCTTCCTGGGCAGGTTGGGGCTATCGGGGCCCAACCGCGATCAATGGGCGATTGGGGGTCGATGCATCCTCCCCCCTATGCCTATCCCCCCTATCGTTGCCCCTGATCACCATCTGGACGTCGGTGCCAGTGCGCACGCAGACCGCCGGCTTCAGGGCGGTGAAAATCTTCCTGTGCAAATCTGTGGCCTCGAAATCGAAGAGATCATGCGAATCGCGGGCCCACGTGCTCGACACGACCCGCACACTTTGCACTTGTGCTCGCGCTTGGTGCATCTTATGCTGCCCTAACGTCCGCCGAAAGCAAGACCTTCAACGTAAGCCAGGAGATGTTAGCTTCAGGGAGTAAGATCAGTTTCGTCGCTCCGAACTTGAGTTCACATGTCAACGTAAGGACGATGGAGGATGACGTTGGTGATATTGATGATGGTGAAACGCTTGGCACACAGGATGAAGAAACGAGCAGGCGAGGAGAAGGGGTTATGATAAATGAAAAAAGGTTAGTTGATTTGGGTAACTCGGCGCGCCTCCGAACAACTGTATATATATATATATATATGTCATCGAATGGGACTCTGTTGCATATTTTAGGGTGCGAATCCTCAGATCCCAAAGGGGGGTGTCACTAATCGAATGGTCAACTCCGGTTCTTCTGAGGACGCCAACATTGATTTCTCACCTTCACTTCAACCGGCTTCCAATGTTAGAATTGCCCTTGCAGGTTTCGCGTGAAATGGCAGCGTGACGGCCACGCGGGCAGAAAAAAATACCGCACCACGCAGCGCCAATCAGCGCCACTCATCGCCAGCCAGCGCTACTGCCAGGAGCTACTCAGCGCCACGCAACGCCACCCAACGCCACTCTGCATCATTTGGCGCCACTCCTCGCCACTCAGGCCACCCATGGCCACCCAACGCCACCCAGCGCCGCTCGACGCCTGCAGCGGCCGTAGTAGGAGACAAAGGATGAGTGGGGAGGCGAGGAGCGAAGCGACGAGGAGAGGACCAGTGCAAACCCAAGACTCATCAAAAATGCTGGAATAAACCCTCCCTCCAAACCCTCTTCATAGGTCCCTAAGAGATTCATTTTCACGGGGGAAATGCCCCGTTGGGAGACAACCGTATGAAGATGCTGAAGCGTGTCCGAACAACATTTTCTGGGACCCCAACGCCACGAATCAACATGACTGTTGCTTCTTGACGATCCTGAATCGTGCCAGAAAAATGCTCTCGGGACGTCAACGCCGCGAATCAGCGCAACTGTTGCTGACAATCCAGAATCGTTCCAAAATGCTGTTTGTGGTACGCTAGCCATGCGAATCCGCGAAACTTCTGCACATTCTTAAAACGAATGTGCGCGGCGCTCAGGCGACAGCCACATTTTGAAAAGGAGCTGCCATCAATCCGTGAAACTCATGCAGAATTCTGAGACGAGTGTGCGCGGCGCTACAGCGAAAACCACATTTTGAAAACGGCCCGCCCCCAATACAGATAACTCTTGCTACATCTTAATACGAGTGTGCGCGGCGCTAAGGCGAGAGCCACATTTTGAAAGCGGCTTGCCCTCCATCAGTGAAGCTGGTGCAACTTCTTCAGCTTCAGGATCATACACGGTGAGGATGTCTCAGGCGACGCGCTTGGCACACCTTCGGGGTGCGACAGGGAGGATTTCATTATAAGGAAAGGAATGGAGGAGGGGGGGGAGGTGGAGGAAAAGGAGGAGGAGGAGAGGAGATGAGATGAGAAAGCGCGTGGGGACCAGGTCAATCCTGGGCACGTGGCAGACTCAGGCCTGCGAAAACTTACCACCACTCTTGGGGGGCAGCCCCCTTGCCAGCCTGGGCAGCACTCCCTTACCTGCTTTAGAGGGAGGACGGTCAGTCCTGCAATGCAGCGCAAGACTCTGAACATCCGCACTGGCGCAGGCACCACAGCGCTTATAGTACAAAACACCCCGCAGGCCATTCAAACGATTGTTGGCACATCCTGGGCACAAGGGGTGGCGGAAAGGGGGTCGGCCGAGAGGAGAGGCGGGCCCAGACAGGGACCTGGGCAAAAGTCCTGAACCTGGCCCTTCAGGGTGAACCGACGCTGGCACACCTGACACTGACTGCACGAGCGGCGCCGACAGGGCTTATGGCCAGCGCTCCTGAACCTCTGCTTGCAAACCAGAAGCGAAGGAAGAGGGACTGGGCGAGGCGGTGGGCGGCCGAGCCTGTCAGCAGCTCAACGTGGATTCTCCTGCACCACCTCCCTGTGGACCGCCATCAGGCGATCAAGCGTGTGGGAGGTGAGGCGATCAACATACTGGGTGGGGTCAGCCGCGGCCAGAGATGGGGAGGCCTGACCAGCAGCCCGTCCTGCAAAGAAATCAGCACGCCAATTCAGGAACAAATCCTCTCCCACTAATGGCGAGTTGGGCCCTCTGCTGGGCCGAATAATGATTTCTAGCCCAAAGAACCGCGACGCGACCAGGGCCGCGATCATCGAACGCACGCCAGATCAGAGACCACAGATCGAGCATCTTGCTGCTAGAAACAACCTGAGCTCGTGGCTGCCAAAAAACCCTTCACGAGAGGTAAGTAATGAAACGATCACAATATATCACCTTCAGTAGGCACAGCCACGATGAGAAACGCATAGAACCCAGCACGGGGACTGGACTGTTCAGGAGCAGGTAGCGCACCACACTTTTTTATCAGCGATGACGGAGCCCAGTGGCACAACACGACGAACGAGCGACAGACGACAGACGAACGAAGGGGAGGCGGCGCGGGAGAAAGGGTGGGGGAGAGGGGAGGGGGGGGGGGAAGCGGCGCGCCGGCCCGCGCCTGGCCCGGCGGGCCTCAGCCCCAGCGCACCACACATAATAGCGTTCAGCTGAAAGTCGAGCCCCTCAGGGGTATCCACGGCGACCATCGGCTACCCGCCTCGTCGCAGACGCTTGTCCGTCGCACATCGCCCCCCAGAGCCGTCGAGGCCCCGCGTGCCTCCAACAACCTGATGCCACCCACGAAAGGCACCCCAAGTTCAGACGAGCTCTCGTGGACGCCGCCTCAAGTGCCCGCATGTGGCACCCAGGCTTGGGAGTCCACGTGTCAAGAAAACGCTATGAGGATCGGCCTCCAGGGCCTGGGAGACAAGGTACTCGCAGTCCGCAGCGCTGGGATCGGACAGCGCTAGGATCGGACAGGAACGCATTTGACGGACATGCCCAGCGGCGGTGCAACGGGGTCCCCATATCATCTCCACAACGGAAGCACCTGCCGAGCGTGAGGTAGCCTGCATCATGGGGTCGGCCTCCAGGCCAACAGCCGCCGACCACGATCGCGGTCAAGAGAGCAGCTCCTGTGTAATCTCGATTCTTGATAAACTCCTGGTGCTTGGCCCTGAAGACGGCGACGTCGGCGCCTGACTCGAGGCCTTGACCACACCAGTGCTGAGGCGCAGAGGACCAGACGGAGGCAGAGAAGCTGGCACGTACGCAGGATGTGGCATGATAGCGGAAATCCACATGATCCGATCGAAGAGGGGCTTTGCCTTCGACCGTCCACAGATCAACTTGCACAGGCTTCCAGCCTAAGTCGAGCAACGTAGCACAGAGAGCAGCGGCAGGCCCGCGGAAATCTCGCTAGTGCTGTCAATAGAACTCAACAGACACTAGCAGACATAAGTAGAGACCATCAGAGACCAGCACGGACTAGCAGAGACTGGCAGAGAGCAGTAGAGAGCAGTACAGAGCAGCGGGGAAAAGCGGAGAGCAGCAGAGAGCACCGTAGGCCAGCAGAGACCAGCAGACAACAGCAGGTACCAGCAGAGAGCAGAAAAGAACAGCAGAGAGCAGCAGAGACCAGCGTTCACCACTGGCGGCCAGCAGGGACCAACATAATGTACAACGCCAGAGACCAGCGCAGATCAGTAGAGAACAGCAGATAGCAGCGGGGACCATTAGCGAGCGGCAGAGAGCAGCAGAGAGCAGCGAGGACCAGCAGAGAGCAGCAAGAGCAGCATAGACCAGCCGATTCTGGCAGTGACCAGCACAGATCAGGAGACCAGCAGAGCCGAGTAGAGACCGACATTTTCCAGCAGATGGGGAGCGCCGCTTGGAGGAGCGCGAGCGGACAACGGTGGCGGATGCCGCAGAGATCGCTGGACGGGTTGGAATTGCGCCGGCAGGACAGCAGCGCGCCGCGTCGAACCTGGCCCGATGCCAAGAGCGGACGGTCGCGAATGCCGCCTGCTGCCACACTCGGCAACTGACACTCAAAGTTTAGTCCCGCACAGACCCGCTCATGACTCCCTCGTACTCAGCCGCTCGTACTGAGAATTGATCACATTCAGACGCCTCCTTGCTCAGACGTCTGAAAAAAAACGGTCATCCCCACGTCGAGTAATTGCATGACCCCCAGATCTGAGGGTTCGGCTCGTCGACGACGATGGCCCCTCTGGAGCACCCTACTTGTGGCTGGCCCGTTGCTGCCGCCCTCCATCCCAAGAGCCAACCGGCCCCCCTAGAGCACCCTGGAGCCCTCGGGCCCTCGGAAATCTCCGGACCCCCCCCCAAAAAACCCGAGGGCCTTCTGCGGAGGGCGAAACCCACCTGGATGCCCAAATGCAGCCTCTTCTTCCTGCACGGGCCCCCGCGCCCTCGACACCCTCACCACGACTTTCCATACTTCGCCGCGGGGAATGATCTGATGGTTCCGCGGCCTCGAGACGGCATCTGGAAGCAGGAGATTTGGGAAACACGTTCCGTGGATTGGAGGGCTGGAAATGGACACCGACACCAAAACAAGGGGTTGCGTTCACCAGGGGAGGAGGATCCTGGATTTTGGTGTTGGTGTAATCTCCCGACCGCCTAGGAAGCCCAAGTAGTACCACCATCACCGAGATTGGGACCAGCTGCCCTCGGTGGAGGCACACTGCCGATCCTGGTGTTGGTGCCAACCTCCGGGCCTCCGAATTCAGCTCCCTTTGTGCTGCCAGAGGTCTGCGAAGGTCTCCTCCGCGGTGGGCTGGAGGCGAGGCCCGCTCCGGAACGGCCCGCCCGGGCTCCGCGGCCGCGCGAGGGAGAGCGGGAGAGCGGGAGAGAGAGAGAGAGAGCTTCTTCTCCCTTCTTGAATGTCTCCCTCCCCGCGTCTTTTTTTCGCGCAGGTCCCACCCACAATCGTGGCGAGAGGGGAGGGGGGGTAGGAGGAGAGTGAAGCAGGAGGCCGGATTGGGAGAAGAAGCTTCGGCTACCACCACCACTAGCACTACCATTACTACCGCGACTGCCACCACAGCTGCCTCTGCTGCCATAACATCCCGTGCGCTGCTGCCTGCACCATGGGTCTTACTAGTGCTACTATGTGCGAATACCGACTGTATGTTTGCGACTTCTGCTGCTATTGCTGTCCGTCGCATTAGGAAACAGGGGAGGACTGGCGTCAATAGATCTCGATTTCGATAGTCATTTTCTTCTCGCCTGCAGAGGTGGCACTCAGTGCGCTCACACCCGCGCAGTCTGTCACATAGTCCCCCGATCTCTGCTTGCCGAGGGTGACAAGGTCTGTGAGACATTTAGCTGTCCTCGTCCCCCTTTCCCCGTCCCCTGGGCTCCAAAATCCAAGAGTGGCGGGGGCCTGGGGTGGGGTACGAGCTCGCCGACGTATCTCTGCGGCCGTTGGAGCCTCCAAATCCGCCCTCCACAGCAAGATTACCATGCTGCCTTCCAAAAATGGCTCCAGAAGGGCTTCAACACGCCGGCGAGGCTTCAAGAACACACAAGACGCCCCAAGACGCCCCGAGAGGATCCCAACAGGGCGTCAAGAGGTCAAGATCCCCACAGGACGTAAGAGGCAAGTCTTTGAATGAGTTTCGCGTTCCGGCCTTATCGGGCTTCTGAAAATCCTCGACGGCCCTAACGGGCCCTCAGATCGGCCCAAGATGGCCCAAGAGGGCCCCCAAGAGGGCCCGGAGACTGCCCAAGAGAGCTGCAAGAAGGCCCACGAAGCCTCCAAGGCGGCAAAAGAGGCCCAAGAGAAAGAGAGAGGGCTCCAAGCGAGGCCCGAAAGGGGGCATCTAGCAGTGGCCTTGGAAACCTTGTCCCACAAGGTTGCCTTAAAGACCCCTCACATACCTGAAGGGGTCCCTGAGAAGCCTCAAGAAGGTCCCCAAAACGTCTTGAGAAGGCTCCGAGAGGCCGCCTCCTGGACCTGCAAGATGCTCCAAGAAACCCCGCAACAGAAGCGGAGGAAGAGGCGGACGAATAAGCAACAACCACACGCGTGCAGAACGAGGGGAGGTGGCACACAACTACAACGTCGGAAGCCGCCCATTCGGCGGTGAACAAACCTCCCTCTAGTAAACCTCCCCTTAGGGAAAACGGCCTGGGACCGAAACCGACGGACCAGGACCCGCAAAAATGACGGCCGCAACGCCCCCTCGCGAGCCGAAAACTGCCAATTCCTTAATCGACGTGTCAGGGTAGGAGGTCTCTCCATCCCCCGACTCTTCTGGGGGGTCGGCGGCACAGCGCAGGCGTCTTGGACACGCACGCCCGTCCCGCCGCAGCTCGCAGCGGTGCGCGTGGTCGCCTGCGCCATGGCTGGAGACCGCGCACGCAGCTCATTCGCGAAGGGTGGGGCGACTAACTGCGGGAGGGGGAGGAGGGGGAGGAGGAGGGGGAGGAGGGGGAGGAGGAGGAGGGGGAGGAGGAGGATTTTTGTTGTTGGGCTCCACGCTCAGCGCCTCCAGAGCCTGACTAACAGGCGGCCACACTAGCAACGGAGGGAGGTGCCAGTGCCTTAACAAGAAATGGGTCAGGCCGAGACGTCAGCAAGACATTTCTGACCAACAGCCGGAATCAAAGGCTGCGAGTCTTCCTCCATGCGGAGGCTGGACACAACACTCGAAAACTGCTGAGCTTCAGAGCGACCGACTGGTGGAAGGAGGGGGACGGAGGAAGGGGAGGAGGAAAGACAGAAACATGGCATGAGGTTGTCCGTATAGACCCTCACCCCTGCTTGCTGCTGCCTGAAATGCGGATGCTGTCCCTTGGAGAGAGCATTCCACCCGTACTTGGCAGCACGAAACGGCGGAGGCTGGCACTTTTGGGCCGGGCCTCGGATCTGTCCGCCGCTGCTGTGACATTTGCAACGCGCGCAGATGAATAAAACCGAACCGTCGCTGCAATCAAACGCAATTGTGCGATGCTCTAAAGCATGTTGTCTCGAAGCGTGCAGCGGGGAGTCTTGGGGGCAAGTACCTCGAGGTGGCTGCTCGGCACGGCTCCCGCGTAAACACACGGCGCACCTCCAGATACTCCCCCATCGTTCCCAACGGTGGCCCGAAACAGCTGTCGCGGCAGGAGTGCACTTCATCCTCTCCGCCGTCGATAGGTCCACGTCGGGCCATAGATGGAGCACATTCGCGGCAAGACGAATCGTCTCGCGAGCATACTTCACCTGCTTGTCGATGACCTCCAGGCGAGACTCGTCTCGCGGGTGTATACATGTGGCGTGCTTCGCCGCCAAATCCGCATGGTGATTGCCAAGTCTCCGCCAACGCTCCGTGCCGTCGATTCCGGCCTCATCGATGTCACGGTGAGCGGCGACCTTGACGCAATCGGTCGGTGGAGCACTTCCCTGAGCGTATATCTGCAAGAACGCCGCTGAATACAGTCGTTTGCCCGAAAACTGTTCAACCTTTGGGCGACAAGCTTGTTTGACAACGTTACTGCAATCGGAGAAAACAGAGAAAGCGGCCGAGCTGAGCACCGTGGCCCACGTCAGGCAGCTGAATTCGGCCGACTGGGGAGTCTGAGGATAGGGAGCCCAGACGGGAGCACGAAACTCGGCGACGGCATCTCCAGCATCGTCAACCATCACAACGCTGCTGGCGGCTCGGGAGAGCTCCCGGACAGGATGTTTCGTGCAACTGCCATCCACAAAAAGAGAACCCCACATCTCAGTCCCAGGAACATGTCCCCGAGGGTGCAAACTATCCTGTCGGTGCCACACAAGGTGCGGGCCATCATCCGACTCGGTAAGGGGCCGAGGGTAGGAGTCGGCGGGATGGCGAAAAGCCCCAGAAGTAAAAAGGAACACATCGTTGCTGTCATCGGAGTCCTTAGCTGTCAAAGCAGCAGCCACCGTGCTATCATCAACGAGCTCCGATCGAAGCGCCACGTTTGGCTCGTGGGTGCATTCCCAAAGCCGGTGGAAGATGGTATCGAGAGCTCCGCAAAACGGACAAAGCCCGTCGACCAAATATCCTTTACATCGCGCTCCAGATCCCGTGAAGAAAGCCTCCGTGGCGAAAGCCCTGATGCGAGCCTTCTGTAAGGCCGAGTAGTTCTTACTATTCAACGCTTCACGAACAATGTCATAGCAAATGCGGGGGAGGATGCCGCGCTTTTCGCCAGAATCGCGCTCGAGCATTCTGAAATACCCGTCCCGAACCAAGAGTTTCACCAGCGCCGGGGAAACAGTCCCAAGAGGGATAAGGAATCCACGGTCATCTCGCATGGTCATAAAATCATCCATCTGCCACCCAAGCCGCACCAAGCTCATGCGACGCGCGGACACTGGCCCAGCAACTCTCCTCCAGGAGCAGGTCTGATCGGCGAACACCGATTGCCAAGCCTGGCGGAGGGTAGTGAGCGGAAGGGCCCACTGGAACGCACCAGTCTGGCATAACCAGATTTCCTTAGACCAACGGACAATGGGAGCAGTGGCCGTGCGCCAGCACGGATCGAAATCGAGCAACGCCGCAGTCGTCAGCGAACGAAGTTGCGAGGTCGGCCTCACGACAGAAAACACTCGCCTGCGCAACAACAACAAGTCCCAATCACTAATGCTGGTGACCTCTGAACCGTATGAGGCCCCAGTAAGAGGCCCAGCCGAGAAAACTTTGAGCGCCTGAGAACGGGACAAGACCTTGTTCTGACGCTTGAGCCTCCTGGAGGCCCTGGAGGCTTTGGCCAGTCTGCGCTTAAGCTGGGCGCAGCGCCCGCCGACTCGAACAGCTCGGCCTGCGGTGTAGTCCACACCTAAGTTGACGGCACTGCTGGTGAACCGCCCTCCTAAACAGCTGAGCCGGGAGGCCACTTCTTCGCCAATCGCCTTGCTAGAGGCCACCACGGCCGTCTTGTCGAGGGCGAGGCTGCACCCGAAAGCCTTGGAAACCACATCATGGAGCTCCATGGCCCCGCGGACGACAGTTTTCACGACCTTGGAAGGGGTGTCGGTAACGGAGAGGCCCTGGTCGTCAATATACACATCCAAATCGAAGTTTTCAAGGGGGGATAAGGAATCGCACCCGTCCTGGCAAAACACTCTGATGAAGGAGGTCGCCATCGAGCACCCTGCGTTGACGCCGTTGAGACAGAAATAGGGCCCCTCGAGCCACCCCCCAAGACAGAGAAATCTACCACATCGATAGGCATAAATACAAAGACGGGCCACAGCAAAAGGAAAATCGTGTTTCTTGCATCGCACCTCCAACTCCTGCAACGAGATGTTCTCATAAAACTTGCGAAGGTCGAACAACACACTAAGAGAAGCTTTGCCCTTCGCAATGCATCCTTCCGCCGTGACGGCCTGCCTCCAAACCACATCGGCCGCGCCCCGAAACTGACCGGCAGCCCAGTACCTTCTGGGGTATTGTTGTTCCCAGTCCAGGGCCAGGGGGCGCCGACAGCGGCCCCAGACTCTAAACCAGGAACAGAACACCCCAATCGGCCTGTAACCTCCAGTCGGTTTAGGCAAAAGTGCCAGAAGAACAACCGAAATCTGAGGGGGAAGGCAGCCCACCGCCTCCATGACGGAGAAACTGGCACTCAGGCAATTGAGAGCGGCGTCCGAGAGCAAAGAAAAATGCCTACAATGAAAGCCGTCAAGGGAGACAGCCGAGGATTCCTTATACGATTTAGAGATGTCCCGGCAGACAGACGGGGGAGATGGTCCGCGAAGACGCCGTCGGGGGCAGCGCCGCTGCCAGAGCCCCAGAGCTCCGAGAAACGAAGACCCTCCACCTTCAAAAGGGACAAAGGGTCACTCACAAGGCAGCCCTCGCTCGAGAGCGTGGAAGAGGGGGTCCAAGGGAGGAGGAGGAGGAGGAGGAGGAGGAGGAGGAGGAGGAGGACAAGCTAGGTGCGCTCGCGTCATATCTGACGTCCTACCCCTCCCTCCCATCCCTTACCATGGCGCTGATTTTCTCTATCCGCGGACGCGTGTCGTAGCGGACCTGTGGCTCCGCGCGCGCGTGCGTAGTGGGTGGTGGTGCACGTGCGTGCGTGCGTGCGTGTGTGCGTGGTTGTCGTGGTGGTGGTGGTGGTGGTGGTGGTGTGGTGGTGGTGGTGGTGGTGGTGGTGGTGGTGGTGGTGGTGGTGGTGGTAGTGGTGGTGGTGGTGGTGTGGTGTGGTGTGGTGGTGGTGGTGTGGTGGTGGTGGTGCTGGTGGTGGTGGTGTGGTACTGGTGCTGGTGCTGGTGGTGGTTGTGGTGGTGGTGGTGGTGGTGGTGGTGGTGGTGGTGGTGGTGGCGGTGCGGCGCGGTGGTGGCGGGCGGATGGGCGCGCGAGAAAAAGGCCCGCGCTGGGGCGAGAACGCCATCCTGAACGACGGAGGCCAAACACCGATCCGAAAATGAGGCCCACGCTGCAGCGGGAGCACGATTCGGGACGATTCGGGAGCAGAAATGAGGCCGGCGCCTCAACGAGAGCAGCATTTTGGGAAACAATGACGCCGGCGCCTCAGCGAGAGTCGTTTCCCGGGATTTCCCGGGAATCCTGTGTGTACAAAAACAGTACGCGGAGAGTGCGCGGCCATCACCCGGACGCCATCAGGGGAAGAGGGAGAGTATTCTCATATTGAGCAATTGTGGAGGAGGAGGAGGAGGAGGAGGAGGAGGATGAGGAGGAGGAGGAGGAGAGGACGAGGAGGAGGAGGACCGGTGCGGTGCACATCGAAAGTGCCACCGATATGGGAAAAGGGCGCCAGCACAGTCCGAACCAGGCGTGAAAGACCCAGGGAGGAGACAGGTTTGGGCACGGCAAGCTCTTGCCTTGACGCCGTGGGCTCTGGTCTCTGACACCGTGCTGACCATTCGGTCTTGAGCGACCTCCGCTCTGGAAGGCCCCAGAGAGGCCCAACCCCATCTCTCGCATGCGCTTCGCGCCACGGGCTGCCTTCTGCGGACCCTGGAGTGCCGCCGCCGCCGCCGCGTCGAGGCAGCTCGAGCCAACCGCACGCCAGGAGGCGAGGGGCAACGAGAGGGGGGGGACAGGCTTAGGGTGGGACGCATCGACCCCCAATCGCCCACTGATCGCCGCTAGTGGCCCGATAGCCCCGACCTGCCCGGAGGAACGCGCGGACTCACTATCGGGGGCCCATCGCCGATCTATCGGCGATGTGTTGCCGATTCCAGGTCGATGCTTCCCCCCCTATGCCTATTCCCGCCCCTGTCGTTGCCCCTCAGGAGCAGTGTGTGAGATGCTGGGCAGAGCACCGGTCGGGACAGGCCGCCGGATCGGACGGCCGCTACAGCTCGTCGGCCTCGGGCCGCGCGGCCGTCGCCTCCGCGGCCTCGGCATGGACGGACGGGGACGGGATCGCCTCGGGTTTCCTCTTCAGACCCTTCTCGGCCACAAGCTCGTGTATCCCTTCCGTGTCTAAATGCGTTATCTTCTCCCTGTAGACCTGCTCGCCGTCCGCGTCGAAGCAAATCAGTCTCGGATCCCTGCCCGGAACATAGTTGATCGTGAGGCCCTCGTAGGAGCCCCAGTGCTCCTCCTCTTTTACGAACCTCTTCACTTCAGCCAGCTTGTTCAATCGTCAGCCGCTGCATGTCTCGATCTCGCACCTTGCGACGTCGCCTGCCGAGTTCAGGCGCCGAATCAATGCGAACGCCATCAAAAACCTGAGCAACCCGCACATCGCCCGCCACGACCCACACTACAGTCGGGCCGCTGAAATAAGGAAAGCTAAATAAGGAACGAGGCCCTTTTTTGGCCCCAAAAGCGCCTGCGTACACGAGGGGGGCTTGAGGAACAGCCATGGAGGGGCCTAAGGAACCTCGAGCCCCTTCCGAACCCAAACTGTTCCTGAGTCCAGCGACTTGACTGTACCCCCCTCAAGAATCTGCTGTGAGGCCGAAGTGTCTTGCGCCAGGACGGCTGCGGGACTCCCGGGAGCGTGGCCCCTGGTGCGAACGTTAGCGCGGTGCTCCCCGCCATGTGCGCCACTGTCACGCGCCAGGGGCGCCTTGCTCCGGAAGGGCAAGCGAGCTTTCCCGCAAAGACGGCGCTGCGCAGTGGCAATCCGAAGCTGCTCTGCAAGCTGGCAAGCCCTCGCTCAAGGCTGGCACCACGAGGGAGCCGGACAGAAGAAGCAAGCTGGGTGAAGGCAGGGAGAGCCGGCAAGCCTTGCGAGTCGTGCCCGGGGGACTCGCGCTTGCGGGGGCCTCAGACTTTTTTATAGCACTCCTGCTCGGCATCGCTCGGACGTCCATTTCCTGTGTTTTTTTTTCGGTTTCGTGCGTGGTTTTTTGCCAAACGATCAAGGACGCTCCTCGATGGCCCTCGCCGAAGGAAAACTGCACACGCCGAAGAAAAACCTCGTCTTTCTCTGCTGAACCGCGCGTCTCTTTCTTCCTGCCTCCCCAGCCATCCGCTGCTGCTGTGCTGCCTGCTGCGTGCTGCTGCCCCAGCGGGCGGGTATGCATGTGGGACCCTGTCCACCTCGGCACATCCCTCATGATTCTGCATAAATACAAACCTGAAGACCTAAGTTAGGAGGATCAGGAACATTAGGGACAGGGGGTCTTTTTTTCTGCAGATGTATCAGGCCAACCAACCCAGATTTATGATCCCTGATGCGAAGGTGGGGACCCAAGTACGGTCAAATCTTCATCGTGTTATTATGGTTAGGGGTTCTTCCGTCTAGACCTAGACCTTGGTCTGGACCCTCGCGGGGCTCAACTTTTCTGGCACACCCCCGAGGACTCGAGTAGGGGGTCGACTACAGAATTGATTTGATTCCCAGCCGAATCTACCAACAAATGCGCATAATGTCTCGTAGATCTACGAACATTCTACGCGTTTCTTGCAAATTCGGCGGGAAAACGAATTTTGGAGTAAAGCAAGTCTGGAGTCGAAGGACGCCTGGCATGCCGTCGCTCATATCAGAGACTTGCAGCGATGGTGACCTGATGTCGGAGACTCGCAACGTCAAGGCAGGAGCCTCCTCCGAACGTCACCCCACCCCGAACCACGACGCCGTAGCCAGCGGCCAGAGGATTGCGTGTGCAGTGGCCAAGCCAATTGCGGTCCTGGCGGCAGGGACAGCCGTCCAGCGTCTCGAAAAATCGTGAGCCCCAAAAGTGAAGGGGCCCAGGGACACGCAAAACAATAGACACAAATAGCAGGATTCCCTGTATTTTTCTATGCTTTGGGGATTTCCGTCTTCCCCCCCACTTCCCCTATTTTCGCGTATTTTCCTGGGACTCGACGATGAATTGTGTCCGTGTGCTCTTCGTCCTCCCGAAAAAGGCTCGAGCCGGATAGCCACGGACGAGCGAGGGCTACAGACGGGGCCAGCCGCACTGGAAGCCGCACTGGGACCACTGCACGATCGGCGCAGCCCGAGCGCCCTGCCCCGAAGACAACTTCAGGTGGGCACCGCAGAGCTGGGCCGCCCGAGGTCCGGTCCCGGCGGCCGCGCGGCGAGGTGACCCTGTCCGACATGGCCATGGCCGCCTCCCGCCTCGAGCGCGGCGAGGGCCTCGAGGTCGGCCCCGAGGCGCCCCCCTCGGGCGTCGTCGGCCGCTCGCCGGCCAAGGGGATCTCCGGGGCGGACGAAAGGGGGGGATTGGGACACGCCAGCAACGACGAGACAGGGGCGGAGTCGAGCAGCCCGTGCCTCGCGCGACTCTTCCCGCGGCACCGGCGTCGCAGGCGCCGCCGCGTCCGGGGCCTCCAGCAGATCGCCCGCTGCCTGACGGGACTCAGGAGGGGGAAAAACACACAGACACAATGAATCGCCGATTCCCCAGAAAATGTGGGGAGATATGGGAAGTAAGTAAGGGAGAAGACAGAAACCCTGAAAATATAGGAAAAGATGGGGAATCTGGTCACCAGTGACTCTATGTATTTGTGTGTCCCAGTTCCCCTTCAGGGACCGCCGCCGTGGCTCGGACTGCGGACGCCGGGGCCGCATCGCTGGGAGGGCACTGCCAGGTGTGGGCCCCGCGCCCAAATCTGCGACGACACGGCTTCTTCGAGCCGCTGGGGCCCTGGAACCCCTGGGCCCCTTCCCCCGGACCGGGCCTCCGCCCCGGGCCGCTCCTCGGGGGCTCCCGGACCTGGGGACGGGCTCCTCCTCCTCCTCCTCCTCCTCCTCCTCCGCCTCCTCCGCCTCCTCCTCCTCCTCCTCCGCCTCCTCGCTCCTCCTCCTCCTCCTCCTCCTCCTCCTCGTTCCTCCTCCTCCTCCTCGCTCCTCCTCCTCCTCGCTCCCAGGGCCGAAGACGGGAGAAGGGCCTTCGGCGCGAGGCGCCCCGAGGCGACGGCGGTCCAGGCGCGGAGGAGCGGGGTCGGCCTCGAGGGGGGTCGGCCTCGAGGGCACTCGGCGGGGCCCCCCGGGCGGCCTCCCCCGCGCGCAGGGGAGGCCTCACCCACCACCACCTCCTTTCTTCCTTCCCCCTTTTTTTTTTCTCTCTCTCTCTCTCTCTCTCTCTCCCCCTTCTCCTCCTCCTCCTCCTCCTCCTCCTCCTCCTCCTCTTCCTTCTCCTCCTCCTCCTCCTCCTTCTCCTCCTTCTCCTCCTCCTCCTACTCCTCCTCGTCCTCCTCCTCCTCCTTTTCCTCCTCCTCCTCCTCCTCCTCCTACTCCTCCTCGTCCGCCTCCTCCTACTCCTCCTCCTGCTTCTCCCAGGAGAGCGACGAGGGAGCACGGGCCTCGCGCACGGCGACACCACCAGAGGGGAAGGGGGTGGTCGAGGAGGAGGGCGGCCGAGGAGCATCGACGGGGTATCGAGGGGGGGGGGGGCGTGGGGGGATCGAGGAGGGTGGTCGAGGAGGACCGAGGGTGATCGAGGAGGGCGGTCGAGGAGGATCGAGGGGGCATCGACACGGCGAGCGGGGACGCTGACTGATGCGTCCGCCCTTCGCGGAGACAGCGGGCCCTTTGAAAGCCGCAGCCTGGACGCAGCTGGTGGGGTAGTACCACCTTGGAAACACCCCCTCCGACCCACACTGATCCACCGCCCGATCCTGACCCCGATCCAGCTGGCCAGATTCATCCCAAAGCGCGGCCTACCATGCGGACCGAGGGCCCCAACGACCGCCCCGGCCCCTGGCCGATCGACGGAGCTCGCAGGATCGATGGCCCAGTCCTGCCTAGGTCGATGGACCAGGGCCTCCTGAGAGTGCCGCAAGGATCGCATCTCGCCGCAGCTGGCGGGACAGCTGAGGCAGACGAAGTGGCCCGTCTCGTCCATCCGCAGCACCTTCTGCAATGTGCCGAGTGTGCGCCGCATGCCATCATGCCATTGGAAGGGCGACTGGAAGAAGGCGCGCCTCAACTTCTGCTCGTCGGCCGTCACCCTGATGTTCTCGCCGACACCGATGCCATCCTTGCAGGGAACAGGCGCTGGCAGACAGAGTGGGAGAGAGAGGGGGGGCACGAGGAGTGGAGTGGAGGAAAACGGGAAGAGGGAGGGGAATGCGGGGAGAGGACAAAGAAGGAAAGAGAAGGGAGACCGAGGTACAGAGGATCACGCGGGACAGTCAGAAGGGCACGAGGGATGGAAGGAGGAACATGTCATCCCCCTGTGGCACTGCGGCGCTGACGGCATGAAGGTTCGTCGAACATTGTCATCCTCCTCCCCCTGCTTCTCCTCCTCTGTCTCCCTCCTCCCCCTCCTTCTTCTCCTCCTCCTTTTTCTCCAACTTTGTCTGCATCTTTCTCCTCCTCTCATAACGGTCCAACGCCTGCAATCCATAACACATGTGTGCCTAAAATGGGTGAGCACGTGTACCTAAAATGGGCGAGCATCTCGGGTCTGGCAGAAGGGGGAGGACACTCGGTCGCAACAGCAACAAATCCTTGCAATCGCGCGAAGCGTCCAAACGACCCCAACCGATGCCAAGGCGACTCCACGGCCCGAGTATTCTTCCGATCTGACCTCAAGGCGATCCAGTATTGTTTCATGGCGACCACGCGAGGGCCATGTGATCCACGCGTGGTCTCGACGTGGCTTCAGCATGACCGCAGAGCAACCCCAGGACGCACGCCCCCTTCCAACTCTCACTCTCTCTCTCTCTCTCACGCACACGCACACGCGCACACACAACACACACACAACAAACACACAACACACACACACGCACACTCACACAAACACGCACATTTACACACACACGCGCACACAGACACACACACACACACACGCACACACACACACACACACACGCACACACACACACACACACACGCACGCACGCACGCACACACACACACACACACACACACACACACACACACACACACACACACACACACACACGCGCACAGACACACACACACACACGCACACACACACACACACACGCCCACACACACACACGCACTCACAAATCCGCACATTCACGCAAACACGCACTCTCACACACACATACACACGCACGCACGCACACGCAAACGCACACGCACGCAGGCCCGCACGCACGCACGGATGCACACACACGCACACGCGTACATACGTACACACGTACATGCGCACACACGCACACGCGCACACACGCACACACACACACGCGCGCACGCGCGCACGCGCGCACGCACGCATGCACGCACGCGCCCATGCCATTTAAGCCAGAGCCAGAGGGGCAGACGGACCCCAGGCGCGGTCGGCAGGTGGAGGTGCCAATTGCGAACGAACTTAGGCAACCGCGCCATGATGAAAGAGCCCACGAACGGCCATGCAGATTGGTGGCGAGAGACGGGAGGCGCTGCA